GCACACACACACGCACAAGGACACCCACGACGCAATCGAAATGCCTCGCTCGATATGACGCAAGACACGATTCCGAAAAAGCGGCGGCTACACCCGACCGGGATCGCCAAACCGGCTCCGAAGGTGCTGTGACCACGCCCACTCTCGAGGGGAGGGGAGGGGGAGGGTGAAGGGAGGGGGAGGGGGATGTGGAGGGGAAGGGTGAAGGGAGGGAGAAGGGAAGGGTGATGTGGAGGAGGGGGAGGGGAGGAGAAGGGTGGAGGAGGAGGAGGGGGAGGGGAGGAGAAGGGTGGAGGAGGAGGAAGGGGAGGGAAAGAGTGAAGGGAGGGGAGAGGGATAGGGAAGGGGAAAGGGTGAAGGGAGGGGAGAGGGAAAAGGAAGGGGAAGGGTGGAGGGAGGGGAGGAGAAAGGTGAAGGGAAGGAGGGGAGGGTGGCAAGGGAGAGGGAGGATGAGGGTGGAGGGATGGGAGGATGAGGGTGGAGGGAGGGGAGAGGGACGAGGGAAGGGAAGAGGGAAGGGGAAAGTGAGGGGAAAAGGATAAGGGAGGAGAAGAGTGAAAGAAGGGGAGGAAGGGGAAAGAAATGGGAGGGGGGAAGGGGGGAGGGGAAAGTGAGAAGATAGGAGGGAAGGGGAGCAAGGGTGGGGTGTGCGTGAAGGGAAAGAGTGAGAGGGGGGGATAGGGAGATCAAGGGTGAAGTGGGGGGGCGGGGGACAAGAAGGGGAGGGTAGAAAGGGGGGAGGGGGGAGCGGTAGATGAGAAGGGAAGGAAAGTGTGAAGTGAGGGGAAAGTGAGAGGGGAGGAGGAAGGTGTGTGTGTGTGTGTGTGTGTGGTGTGTGTGTGTGTGGTGTGTGTGTGTGTGTGTGTGTGTGTGTGTGTGTGTGTGTGTGTGTGTGTGTGTGTGTGTGTGTGTGTGTGTGTGTGTGTGTGTGTGTGGTGTGTGTGTGTGTGTGTGTGGTGTGTGTGTGTGTGTGTGTGTATATGTGTGTGTGTGTATGTGTGTTTGTGTGTGTGTATGTGTGTTTGTGTGTGTGTGTGTGTATGTGTGTGTTTGTGTGTGTTTGTGTGTGTGTGTGTGTGTTTGTGTTTGTGTGTGTGTGTGTGTGTGTGTGTGTGTGTGTGTGTGTGTGTGTGTGTGTGTGTGTGTGTGTGTGTGTGTGTGTGTGTGTGTGTGTGTGTGTGTGTGGTGTGGTGTGTGTGTGTGTGTGTGTGTGTGTGTGTCTGTGTGGTGTGTGTGTGTGTGTGTGTGTGTGTGTGTGTGTGTGTGTGTGTGTGTGTGTGTGTGTGTGTGTGTGTGTGTGTGTGTGTGTGGTGTGTGTGTGTGGTGTATGTGTGTGTGGTGTGTGTGGTGTGGTGTGTGTGGTGTGTGTGTGTGTGTGGTGTGTGTGTGTCTGTGTGTCTGTGTGATATGTGTGGTGTCTGTGTGGTGTGTGTGTGTGTGTGTGTGTGTGTGTGTGTGTGTGTGTGTGTGTGTGTGTGTGTGTGTGTGTGTGTGTGTGTGTGTGTGTGTGTGTGTGTGGTGTGTGTGTGTATGTAGGGGGGGGGGGGGTGTGGTGTGTGTGTGTGTGGTGTGTGTGTGGTGTGTGTGTGTGGTGTGTGTGTGTGTGTGTGTGTGTGTGTGTGTGTGTGTGTGTGGTGTGTGTGTGTGTGTGTGTGTGTGTGTGTGTGTGTGTGTGTGGTGTGTGTGTGTGTGTGTGTGGTGTGTGTGTGTGTGTGTGGTGTGTGTGTGTGGTGTGTGTGTGTGGTGTGTGTGTGTGGTGTGTGTGTGTGTGTGTGTGTGTGTGTGTGTGTGTGTGTGTGTGTGTGTGTGTGTGTGTGTGTGTGTGTGTGTGTGTGTGCGGTGTGTGTGTGTGTGTGGTGTGTGTGTGTGTGTGTGTGTGTGTGTGTGTGTGTGTGTGTGTGTGTGTGTGTGTGTGTGTGTGTGTGTGTGTGTGTGTGTGTGTGTGTGTGAAACATACGAATTGAGAGACTGCAACAGGAAAATAAAATAAAGAGGAAAAAAATGAAAAGGGACGGACAGTTAAAGAAAAGAAAAAAAAGACAGAAAGATAAAGAGAGAGAAAAAAAAACAGTAAGCAAATAAAATAGACAGAAAATCAGACAGGCAGACACACAGACAGACAAAAATCCTGTTTCGTACCACCTCACATGCTGTTTCGCCGTGGGTGCCGCCTCTCATAGAACACACTTTGGGGCAAACGTGCATTTCGAAACATCGTTGTATTTTAACTCGAAACCAATCCCCCTCCCCTCCCCCCTTACCACATCCATCAAAAATGCACACACTAGTGACACTTCCACAACTTTCACCAATGGAAACATTTAAGCAGGAAGAAGGAAGGAAGATAAATTAAAAGACAAAAAAAAAAAGAGTACAAACCGCTTAACTGTGTCGGATATAGAGAGCAAGTTCCGCCGATCTACCTCCCACGGTAACTAGATCACGACTGACAGGTCTTCTCTTCGGGTCAGCTGTTCACAGGTATCGTAAGGAATCGTTG